ATAGGGAAGGTTAATACATGCGGTCCTTATCAGTAGCAGGGCTTTTAGTGGGGAAGGAAACAAGCAATGTATCTGAGAGTTCAAAGTTTAATCCAGAGTTTGATATTCGTCAAGAGTCGTTTTGTTTATTGTTGTTTGGAAACAGTCTGCAGACATTATTCTTTTTATTTAAAAAACAGAGGCATGGTGTGCTGCATGGGTTTTGAAAAATGTTTTGAAAATTGTTGAAAAGAATTAGTCCGCCTGGTGCTCAGTCCTGATGTATTGAAGGATTTTTATGCACCCTCCAAGTGCCTCAGACCCTCTTCATTTATTCTTTTCTTCAAATTACATTGAAGAAACAATGTAGAAATTACTGCGTCAGAAAAATCCAATTCAGAGTTTGTTTTTTATTTTATTCTGGGCAAAATGGTGGTGAATTTATTTGGATGTTGCAAAAGTTCCAAAGTTCAATGAAAAAAAACAGGATTTTGAAAGCATTGACAATGTCCCCGTCTTAAAATGTATCTATTTACAGTCTGTATCAGTACTTGTATAGGTAAAATATGTCATAATACAGATGAGTGAACTTTGTAATTTTAGAATTAATTCTAATAAAACTCAAAGGATGTCAATTTAAGCAGACAGCCTGATGTCTGTCGTGGTTAAATAATGATGCATATCAAAGCTTACATTGTTTTCAAACGTTTATGACGTACAATAGTTGTTGGAGCCAAATTATATGTTTGTTTTGTGTCATGGTATTTTCCTTAAGGTTGTGTGTGTTGGCCCTCTACTGGGCACTATGTGTAGCCTGGGTGGATGCTGTGGTTGAAGCAAGGCTCCAGGTGAGGTGGGACAGGTGATTGAATGGAGGCAAACAGTTTTTTCGACCGTGTCATCCTGTCGGAGTTAAACGCATCCAATGTGGATTTGTTTGTTTTATTTATCGACAGTGGTTCGTCACATTTTCCTTTATTTGATAAGAAGTGTTTAAAATAAATGGATTGAAATATCCAAATCAAATCATCAATAAACTGTGTTAATTTCTTTGAGCTAAGCACGCGTCCGAAAGCTTCCACATTCATCCCTCAAGTGACTTTTCCAAACAATGTTGGGTTTGTTAAAATTGGTCACTACAATAGTTATTTCTCTGAGGTGAGTTCAGTGTGCACCAAGTCATTAAACACACTGCTTTACTGTTACCACAATGACCTGTAGAGTATAGCGCCCTCCTGTGGCATACATCCAAATAATGTTTTTTTGTTCATGGATGCCTTCATGAGTATGTTTGTCTATGAACATTTGACATTTAAAGAGTTTTTTTTTTTTTTTTTTTTTTTTTTTTAAATATATTTTTTTAAAATATATATATATTTTTAATTTTTTTTTAAATATGTTTTTTTAAATATTTTTTAAATATTTTTTTAAATATTTTTTAATAATAATAATATCTGACACTAATTTGGAAATACTCAAATCGTGAATTACATATTCCAAAACAATACATTTTATGTCTGCTTCTTGAAAGTCTAGGAAACAAAGAAATGATTATGAACTGTACTTTCTCACTCACCCAGTATAAAGGTGCCAGTCCCCTTCATGAAGGCGTGAGACTGACAGGCAGCATAATTACCTAAACCCTGGAAATGTGAGTTAATCAAACATTACGGCAATTAATAAACTAGTAATCCAGTTGAAACTGTCCATTGAAATCTTATACAACATTGCAAAGGTCTAAATATTTGCAGCATCTGACTCAGTGTCCTCCAGAAATCATCAACAAAGTGAACAAGAGGAGAATAATGAACAAAACCTCACCGGATGTTTTGCTGCCAGCGCATCGTCCACTTTGGTGAGGCCGATATTCACCATGTTTTAGTGTTTGTTTGTTTTTTAAGCTGGAGGTTAATTTAAAATTGACATTTACTCATGTTGAAACTGTACATAACCCTGCTGTTATAAAACTTCCGTGCCGGAGACCAAGAAATACAAACACAGAGAGGGAAAGCTGTTTGTATAAAACACTGGCGACACTTAAAGGCGAGGAGGTGGTACTGCAGCGTGTCGCCAAGGCGATTTAAAAAAAAGAAGAAAAAAAAATAGTTTTTGGGTTCAGGAGGCAAAATACAAAACATCATATATTGATATTGAAAATGTCCAACAAACACACATAAAACAGACACACACACACATGGATAGATATGGATATGTATTGTGAAGGCATCTCAACAAAAGAAAATAAACAATGAGAGCTTAAATACATTTTGAAAAGAAAATAAATCAGTAATTTTGATTAAGTGTACAAAAGACAAGAAAATGATTTGGAGTTTTGTTTAATTCATCATAGTACAAAAGTAAAGAAGCCAAGAAAATGTTATTTTAAGACTCATATGTTAAGATAAACAAGAAAGCAACCTTCTGTTTGTTTGTTTGTTTGTTCTGGTCACTCACCTGTGGAGATGCAACTTCAGAAGATGAAGACTAATCTTAATGTTATCTTTAACAACAACAAAAACATAATGTGAGGCCTTCCTGTGTTGGATCTTGATTGAGGAAGGGTCTGATGAGTTGATCAATAAGGGTTACTCTGAAGTCAGTTTGTGTTGTTTACAAGAAGTCATCCATAAACAGTGGGGTGCTTCAGCACGCCTCATCTGGAATGAAAGAGGAAAAAACCTTTTCTTTTGTCAAGATAACAGGTTGATTTTCTTATTACCCCTGATTAACAAAGTCCTTTTTGTCCAGGTAACAGCCCTAACAGACCCCAGGTAATCCACTTTTTAGAAACAAAGGCTTTTCTTCCAAATAAAATTAAAAAAATTCATTGATTACCTGTGCTTCTTTATGTCTTTAAATTTCACATTTCCAAAAGAAACAAACACAGAATGCAAAGGAATGGTTCTTTTTTTTTTTACAGCATCATCCTGTAAATAATTCTTGGATTTGTCAGTATTCATCAACTCTTCATGGATTTAGATTAACACAATCTATGGCTAAGTCTGAAACTACTCTTCCAACAATAGATAAACACACATATATTCACCCCTGAGTTTAATTTTTTATTTATCCTTGCTGCATCACAGCAGCATTAAGACTCGGCTTTAACAGAGTCATCATCGTGACGTCAACAGCACGGCTTGCTGACATCTGATCTTTGATCCCTCGGATGACCTTTGACCTCAGTGACCTCGTTGGTTCTGTCTAATGCTGGAGATGAGCGAGAGGAAGAAGGGGGAGAAAAAGAAAAGAGGCAGATGGAGTAAAACTATTGCTGCTGAGATGAAAGTAACAACACAGAGGCTTAAGTTACAAGACGGCTAAAGGAAAGCAGCTGTGCATCTGTTCCATGTCATCAAGGAGACAGAACGGATTGAAAACAACTTCTAGAGATGTAAAGCACTCGTCATCAATGATAATGATAATGATAAAAGCTTAATAGCAGAAACATCAGTGACCGCATCTTTAAGGAGAACATGGAGGAGTAATGGAGGTTATTATGAATCTGAGCAGGATGTTGTGTGTGGTGTAAATGGGAGCTAGAAGATCAATGTAACTGCAACAGACAGCTTTTAGATCAGCCTTTAGTGGGACACGGCTGTGGCTCAGTTGGTAGAGTCTGTCGTCTCTCAACAAGGACGGAGGTTGGGGGTTCGATTTACAGCCTTTAAGAAAAACACAACTTACAACAACCAAATAAGCCAAGAGAAGTATCGCCTTGTCCACAGGGGGTGCAAAAAATCAACACAGACTGAAAGTTCCCCAGAGGAGCTTTAAAGGATAAAAAGGATTCAGCCACTGTTTTCATTCATAGAAAAAAAAACATCTCAATAAAAGACAACAACTAGTTTTCCCTATTCTTTAAATGAGTTTACAGACACTCCGAGTCTAAAAGTTCTACAATAAAAATAACTGGCAGCACTTTAACCTTAGTTCTTTAACGACAGCAACAAGGAAGCATTAAAAAAAGAGGTTTCACTATAGTGCAGCGTTAGGTTTGTTTTGTTACTAGGAGCTTAAGAAACGTAAGTATTGCAATATGGGATTAATTCTTCAAAACACTGATGATTTTTAATCAACTTACTGCAAAGATTTGTGGCATCAGTTTAATTCTGTTCTTTAAACTCCCCACAGATGACAGCGTTGTAATTTATCTGAAGCTAATTGACTCTTCATATCCAACAAAATATCATGAACTGAGATGAGGAAAAAAAACAACTTCTTTTGAGCCATAGAACACAGGCCGATGAAACAGGAAGTAACATTTAGGGTTCATTACAGCACCTTACTAATTATATCTTAGTAACTCAAAATATATTAAGCTGTCTACCTTGTTTCCTAATACAAAACGCATCACATGATTATTGAAAATATAATCCAAATGTCCTAAAAGATGCTTTTATCATGGCGCCGGGGGCTTAGCGGTTAGTTTGAGCACCCCATGTAAAGAGGCTGTAGTCCTCCAAGCAGGCAGCCCGGGTTTGAGTCCAACCTGTAGTTTCTTTCCTGCATGTCTTTCTCCCGATATCTAAATCTATCCACTGTCCTTTCTCTCCAATATAGGCATGAGAAAGTCCACTAATTACTCTTAAAAAAAAAAAAAAAGGAGCAGTTTTTATCTACATTAGTACATATTAATACGTGGCTTTAATCTATAAAACAGGGAAGGTTCCAAGCACATTGTTACAAAGTCAGTTATTGTAAACCAGCAAATACTGTAATAACTGAATGATAATCTACATGATATTTATCAATGAAAGAACAGCTCTTCTCTTACATTCACCTATACACACACACACACACACACACACACACAAGAAACCTCTCTAAAACTTCTCTTTAGTCCATAGAGGACGGTAGACAGAGCAGGACACAGATGAGAGAGCAGGGAATGAAACACAGCCGAAGCACAGAGGGTCAGAGGTGAACCTGGACCGCCTACCCCAGTGCCAGTCCATCCAGCCAGCGCCCACCAAAAGAAAACTTTTAAATCCACATGATTTCATGTTAAAACAAAAGAGTATTTCCGACACTCAAACATTATTTTTTATTTTATTTATTATCATTTAACATTGGAAAAGCAACTGTCGGTTAACCTCAACTGTTCTTCCATTCACATATTGTATCTCTTTATTTCTATGGTGATTAATGTTTTATAATCTTACAAAACAAAAAGATTTCAGACACAATCTGTACACTCCAAATTGCAAATCACACCCCCTCCCTTCAACCCATCAATGACAAATACGCAAACACTGGGAGCCAAATTTTAGTGCAGTGTTGAAAACCTGTTCACACACACATACACACACACACACACACACACACACACACACACACACATACAACACATACAAAATGAACAATCAACGTGTAGCATGTACGTCTGTGGATTACATGCAAACCAAGTGTCTGGACTCCTCACCTAAGACACACGAGGACACATTTAGCAGGTGTGTGCTGTAGGTAATACAAGGAAGGCAGGCGATTTAGGAGAAGCACGACAAAGAAAAAAAAAAAAAATCTCGCAGGAAATGGTTCAGTTCATAAAACCATTCTCCAAAATAAAATGGACCAAAAAAAAAAAGGTGTGTAAAGGGGGGGAATTCAAGTTTTACACTCCCAGACGTCTCTCACATGGAAGATATCTTTAAGTGACAAAGATGGTGTGCAGTGTTTTCATGGAAAATCTGGAAGGGCAACACAGAGTAGGACTCACTCGTGCATTCAGGATCGAAAGAAAGAAAAGAAATAAGGGCAATCGAGTGACGGGTTTTAAGTGTTCATTCCTCGACCCTGCCCGATAAGAAGGGACATAAAAAGATGTCCCACATTGTCCACCTTTATAACGCTTGCCTTCAAATATCACCAGGACAAAAAAAAAAAACAGACAGTTTTCACAATCAAAAGGTTTTAAATAAATATAGCTCCATTGATAGAATTTTTTCCAAAAAAAAAATAACCCTTAGAGCAAACTCTCACACAGACGACTGAGCACAACCCTGCCCCAACACACACGTATCATAACCCTGCAGGTGCAAATACAGTTGAAAAGAGAGGCGTCTGTTAAAAACTAGCAAAGTAGAGACGGACTGGAGGGATGGAAAACAGTTGATAGTGGAGTGCCAAACTGCAGGTCATAGTAGACTTTGGTAGAAACATGGAATTGTCATTTTGATCAATTGTTTCTGATGGATGGTGAGAAAGGATGGTTTGTGAGAAAGTCGCCTGTTTCCGTACAGATCACACCAGAAAAGGCCTTTGAATTTTGAAAAGTCACTTTGTTTTTTTTAAATGTAATAAATCCAGTTACTTCAGGTCATTAAAACGTTGTACCTAGTCGTGAACAAATGTATAGAAAAGGAAATGATCAAGGTGTCACAAAGCCTTCTAAAAAAAAAAGAAAGAAAATACAGTCCTTAATTTGGCAGCTACTTAATTATCGAACTGTGAAAATATTAAACGGAACGATTTCTGTAGAACATTTAAAACGGTGTCATATGGCCCCTTTAGGAAGAGAAAAGACGTACAATAACCCGGCCCTGTTGACCATGTCAAAGTCCTTCAGTACATGTTGGTATCACACACACACACGCATAAAGCATACGCACACGCACACGCACACACTCAATACTGGTAGCGTGATTCACTCAGTGAAATCCGATGTGTGTTGCGGTTGGCTGTGTGGGGGTGAGGGGCGGGGTTAGTGGGGGTACGACAGACAGACAGACAGACAGGTGGCTAAGGTGTTGATGGCCATGAAGACAGCAGCCGTGTGCAGCAGAGAGGTCAGAAAGGGAGCGATACAGTGAAAAGGTCCATGTCCCATTGTACCAGCTGAACGACAGGTACTGCAGCCCCTGGGGTCTCCCTCCCCACCCCCCCAACTGTTGCACAGACGTTACCGCAGCCAGCAGGCTGGGGGGAGGAAAGAAAGTGGATGACGACGACTGTTTGTATTGTGGTCCAAAGAAGCTTGTCCAGTTCATTAACAAGACAACTTTTCCCCCTCACATACAAAACCATAGCAGCAAGTAGAGCTCGAGGGTCTCCCTCCTCGAGAAAAAAAACAAAAACAAAAAACACAACTTTCCCCGTCATCCACGTGAAAGCAAGCTATGGAGAAATACCAGTTCTGGGAAGTGGCAGATGTCTTTTTGACTCCTAATCCTCCATCTATTTACCCCCAGAATCCATCAAGTAACCAACATTGTCCTCAGTCGTTAGTCTCTTGTCAGTGTTTTCCCCCATGTCGCACTTCATCCCTGCTCCCCTCCCACAAGTCTAACCCTGCTCCTTCCCCATTCTCCTCTCCTCTGCTCTCTCCCAGGCGAGGATGAGGGCAGATCATCGCTCGGGCTCCGACTCCAGGGCCAGCACCCGCTTGCGCTCGCGACACTGCTTCTTGTGAGCGGGCCAGTCCCTCTGCTGACACTGGGAGCCGCAGTAGCGCGCCACCTGGCAGCGGCCGCAGATGTTGAACTCCCGGAGCTGCAGAAAGACAAAGAGGCGGAATATTTAACTCTTGATCAAATAATGAGGTCAAATGATCTCTCATTTTCAAACTAAAGAAAAGACTTGGATTAATGCCACTTTAGGTTCGTACCCTCCTCTCGATGAGTGAACAAGGAGGATAATGACACTCGTAGTATGTGCAGGAGCACTCCTCTTCCTCCACCAGCTCCCCGTTAGCGTTGTAGTAGCGTGTGCGGCTCAGCTCCAGATACTGCTCCTCCACAGGGTCAGCAGGTACTTGCTGGATGGCCAGCCAGTACAGAGACTGCTCTCTGGGAAAAACAGCATAAAATTAGTAATGTGTCACTTTTTAAAACTGATACAGATGTAAGAATGGAAAAATTCCCACATTACTGTTTAATGATTTATATTCGGTTATAGTATGCTTTAGCGTAGTCCTACCTCTGCTTGCTGGAAATCTCCTCTGGTTTGGGGCTCCAGCCCACAGGCACCAGTCGCAGGTTGTCTAGCCTGTTGTCCACGGTTACAGAGTTAATGTGGATGACTTGAAAACTGGGGGCGATGCCTCCTCTGTGCTTCTCCCTAAGTTAAGACATGCATCAAGATTTAAAGTCAGTTCAAGATCTGAAAAAAAAAAAAAAAATCAGGACAGTTCACTTGACCCTTCATTTATTCAGCGTAATGGAGGGAAAAGGGACTGACAAACATGGAATCACTTGCTTTAATGAATGTCAAAAAACAGAATCAGCTGTTGACCTTTAAAGGCCCCCGATACATCAAGCAGACAGCACAGAACAAGTAGCGACGAAGGCTACCTCTGGTGTCGCCTCACATCTTGGCAAAAAAGTTGCACAAGAACACACCGCAAAGATTACAGCCGGCCCCATGTACGTTCTGCGCATGCATGAGAGGCGGTGGTAGCTCGTTATGATACAGAAAGACCATTTTCAAACCACTGCCGCACACCACTCGTATTATAAAAAGTTGAAAATGGCGCTGGCGCTGTCAGCCCTTTGTCTTTTAGTGGAAGAAGAAAAGAGGCGTAGGCGAAAAATGAGGAGAAACCGCACTAATGGGTGAAAGCACGGACACTACAGCGGCATGCTCAAGGGGCTTTCCAGAACCTGTGTCGAGAGCTGGAGATAAATGAAACCTCCCAGCAGCCAATCAGAGAGATCTCTCTCACCGACCGCTGTTTAAACATGTCGAATCGGCCAAAAACGGACCGAGAAGACGAGGGCGACAACGCTCACTGACGGTCCAACGGTCTCCTTGGTGTTTCAGGGCCTTTAAGTTTAAAGGAGATTTGATAGTTGGCCACTGAACTCACTGAGTTTTTCTTCAAACTAATGATTACTTATTGACACCAGCAGGACAGTATGGGCAGTTTTGACATCAGCCTGCTATGGCAGAGATAAAAAAAACATCTTTTCAAGACACACAAGTACCGGGGCGCCAGTGGCCTAGTGGTTATTTCGCATGCCCCATCTTCAGAGTAGCAGAAATAACAATCCATCAATCTGGATCGATTTATCGTTTGGTCTACCAATGATTCAATCAAAAGTCAAAACATTGATCTACATGGTCTTCTTTATGATACGCCTTTATTTTTTAAATCCCCCCCCCGCGGACCTGTTTGACAGTTTCCACCCAGCTGCAGGTCTTCCTGAACTTTTCAACAAGCTAGCCACAGGCGGACATTAGCAAGCAGCCGAGGTAAAGAAACAAGATATTAACTCCTCTCTCAGGATAGAACAGCGGTGTGGAAATAGTTTGGACGTAGATTTTACACCTGGGCGGGTCAGCCTAGCTTTATTTACCGACCTAGCTTGCACTGCGGTGTGCTTTTTATAATCCGTACACGATCGTCATCCAAGATCTTGTACGGATAAAAAGCAATCTCCTCTCTCTAACTACTCATAGCTGAAGTAGTATGAGAAGCACTCGATACAGTCTCTGTAGGTAAACAAAGAGAGAAGGCTGCTATTCCTGAACGGGTGCAACATCTCAATTTAAATATATCATGTAAATATAAGCAGCGTGAAGTGATCCAAGCACGACAGAAGCTCTCTGCCTCTCTCTCTCTCTCTCCTAAGTCCCTACCCCTTCATTTATGCAAATCAAGGTACCAGTAAAACAAGAAAAAGGTTGATTCTTCACTGAATGACCATGTGTCACAGATTTCAATTCTACAATTCACTTAGCAGACGCTTTTATCCAAGGCGATGTATATCAGAGAGTAACTACAACACAAGCAAGGATCTAGAAAAAAGGAAACAATGTCCCTTTCAGCTTTGAGTCCGATTGGACACACAGGTGCTCACAGGCATTGTTCCTGAGAGTCCTAATCAGTATAGAGACCATCTTAAAATTCATTGTTATCAAACAAAACCATCATCACTACCATCATCAATAATATCTAGACCATCATCATTAAGATCCTAAGTATTCATAAAAGAGCTTGGTCTTTAGCTTTTTCTTAAAGGTGCAAAGGGAAAGAATACAGTTCTAAAATAAAGCAGAGGCACAGTAACGATTCAATACACAGATTGTTGCATTGAAATGGATCAGAATGCAGGAAAGACGTGTTGGGTGCTTCAAAAAACTAGAATGTTAGAATAAAAACAGACCTCTACTATGCAGATTGTGAATCAATTCTTAACCAGTATGACAATGCAAGGGTAAGTAGAGGGCTGCTTGCAAATAACATAAGAAAATAAAAATGTAAGATTTACTTTTTGGGCTTTTGCCTTTATTTAGATATGAAAGTGGCTAGAGTAGGAAACCAGTGAGAGAGTGGGGATTGACATGCAGGAAAGGAGACACAGGTCCGACAAGAACCCTGAACACCTGCTTGGAGGACTATGGTCTCTATACATGGGCCGCGACCTAAAAGCTAGGTCATCCGTCCCAAGTAAGGAATAAGTTAGCATTATTATGTATTGTCAATCATTCCAGGTGCATATGGCTTTTTTTCCCTTTTTAGCTGTGCTGCTCTGCCACATGTGAGGGGTAGGTAGACAGTGCCTTGGGTACTGTAAACAATAGAGTGATCCAACAGCCAAACTCAGCCATTCCTAAATCGCCAAAAGCGTAGTTCTGCAAAAAAGATTTCCAGAGTCTTTGATAGCCTCATATTGCCAGAAATATAATCACACTGATAAGCATGTCTAATATGTTTACCTGAAGCTACAAAATGGCTCTATATTCTTCCTCTACAGCATTCAGCTCGCAATTTTAACCTTTTTTTATTTTTATAAATCGGACACTTGAAAGGAGACATGTCTTATACAGAACTTCAAAGATTAATTAAAACCAGAAGACCTGAAAATATAACCGATTTAATAATAAAATGACTCACCAGAGAAGCTCGTGTAGTGGCCGTCCTGCCCAGCGGCCTTTACCGATGTCGAAAGCATAAGCAAAGATCTTAGCTCCATTTCCATCTGCATCTACCTCCATGCGTGCCTGGGAATGAATAACGTCGTTGCTTAACACGGGCACTATGAGAAATGTGGCGACAGCATAATAAGATCATATGCGATTGTTAAACTTCTTGATTTACCTCAAAGGCGTAGTTTTCCACCAGTGGTATGTCCTGCTCATCAATCAGTGTGTATTTTGTCTGAAATGAGAGAATGGAGAACATTAATTATTGATGTATTGAACTGGAACAAACACAAGTAGAACTCTTACAGGAGCAGCTTTCTTTTGTAATCATGCTTGAGCAAGACACCAACTTTATTAAAAAAAAAAGGGGGGGGGGGTGTGGGGGAGTGTTAAAAGAGTGTAAACAAGAAATGGCCAATGTGGGAGCAGAACCGCAGATCCAAAAGGGAATCACTTTTTACATGTATTTAAAATAATGGCCATAAGCAAGTGCAAATATGTTAAATCAATAAAACAGATGTTTAAAACCTTGAACTTGTCAAGAAGCAGGTCAACTTATTAACTCAAGGCCTCTAAGCTGAAAAAAGGTTTGCAGTGCAGGTTTGGATGCAAATTAACTAGATAGCAATTGCACATTCTTCCAAATGCAGTTAAATACTGTTTCAGGTCTTTTTTTGTACAGTATAATGTGCATTATTATTTTTTAGTATTAAAGTTTATTTTACATTTCTAGTCGGAGTACTGTAGTTTTGCACATTTTGTCTATTTCTATGTTAATTATTTGATCCTGATGAAGCACAACAAGCCAAAAACGCGTCGGTCTAATTTGGGGGAGCTTGAAGATTCATACGACAATTGTTTTGACAAAGAAAGCATGTTCATAGTCCACTACCATTCCATATGATAACACTTGAAGTAGGTCTGGGCAATATATCGAGTTTTTAAGATATATCGATATATTTTCAATCCAGATATAGGGTCGGACAATATCGTTAATCGATATCGATGTAGTTCAGAAATAACGTTATACATTTCTTCTGTAGCGCTGCCAGTTCACCTATTTCTCATCTCACTGTCTCTCCCTCTTCACCCTGCTCCTCGTTCTCTCTCTCTGAGCCAAACTCAAAAAACTAAATGGAAAACAAAACACACAACTGTGTTTATGTTGTTGTGCAGAAAATTAATTAATTTCACAAACAGGTAGTTTTTTTTCATGCACATGTTGAACTTGTGCAACTGACTGTTAATTAAAGACATATCGATATATATCGAGTATCGCCATTCAGGGAAAAAATATCAAGATATGAGTTTTGGTCCATATCGCCCAGCCCGAAGTTGAAGCTATGGTCAAACTCCTATTTGGAATTTGCCTTGCACGTGACAGCTGCAGCAGACATACAGGTAAACAACGGAAATGTCTTCTATGCATGCATTATAATATAAATATTTTTAATAAAAGTAAGATAGATAGATAATTTATTGATGCAGAGGGAAATTCAAAGCATCCAGTAGCAGGTTACAAATTAAACCACTAAACCGACTTAAACTGTGCAATTAAAAATAGACTTACACAAGAAATGCAGGGTGCAGGGTTAAAAATATATGTGCAATTTAAACAAAAACATATAAACAGTTGAGGAAATAAATTTGTAATTAGACCTGAATATAAAAAATAAGAATAAAAAAAAAAAAAAAGTGTTGACCTTCTGAAGTTGTGTTGATTATAAATGTACAGCAAGTAAAATTACATTCATCCCTTTGCAACCAATGGAGTTATTTTGACAGTACCACGTTTGGACTCAAGCAAACATAGAAGAGCTGAAACTGGTGTCACAGCTCCCCGAACTCTATAAATGGGACCTGCACATGCACCGATAGCCCCACGATTAAGGTATAACACAGCACGGCACGGCACGGGTTTCCCCCCCACACATACCAAAAAGGTCAAAACAAGCAAAGTGACACTTTGTCTCGACTGCCAGACTGTTGTGCACATCTCAAATAGGAACTGACATCACGTAAACGAGCTATCCAAAGAGTGAGTGAAGCCCAGGAGTCCTGTCACTCTGCAGGTGCGCAGCTGATTCGTCACATGTCAATCAAAACCGCGCTGCAACGTCAGTCCCGTCTTAAGCCGTAATTTAACGTCACATCTATGTGATAAACACCCCTTAATGTACCTTAAAGACAGGAAAAAAAACATGCACGCTTTCGGCCACAGCTGTGAGATAGTGGGACGTGCAGCCGGTGCTTTGTCACGTCGCACAAAAGACTCAGTTGATGGAGCGTGGCAATGGCTTCCTTATTAGCCGTGTAATCCAAATAACAGTTAGCGTGGCACTGCTAGCTAGCCGACTGTTCCCTGTCTATTCCCACCACACCGACAAGTAAAGCTGTCGTCTGTTCCTGCATTACCAAACACGTGTGAAGGGAAAATGTGACCCCCTCCTCCCTCCCCGTGTTTACCTTCGGGGCACTATTACACCGTCTGATGTGGTGAGCCCGGAGCTAACGCAACCTGTGCTACATGCTAAGTTAGCTTTAGCTTCTGTGGCGATGGAAGGAGGAACGGAAAACCTGTCCCGCTCGGCGCGGCCGGCTTCTTTAATCCGTTCAAAATGGGGCGAAAATATCTAAAGCTATGCGACTGTAACGTCGGGAACGGGTCGGTGCCCAGTCGAGGAGCCGTGTATCACCGTCTCATCGCAGCGAAAGCGATGTTTTCCCTCGTTTATCGGTACCCTGCGGGGCCCTTCCTCCTGGCCGCACATGGCAGCCCCGGGATCCAGCTCACCTTCCCGGCCACACGGCCGAGCCGCACGATCCCGAGCTTGAAGTCCGACATCAGGAGGAACGGGCGCAGGGTCCAACCTAAACGGTGTTCAGGTTTAAAACTCGCAGGGGCAGCCCCTCAGCCCCGCCGCGATGCCAGGTCGGATTAACTGGGTTGAGGTTTGCCCTGACTCCGGGTCTCTCCGGCAGCAGCCCAACCTCGGTGACACACCGCTGCTGGCGCAGGACAGCCGAGCGAGCTGTTGGGGGGCGGAGAGGGGGCGGGACAAGTCCGCTAATCCCACCGACCAATGAAACACAGCGTTATGTTTTTTTAACGCGCGGTGTCTCAAAATGCTGTCCAATTAGAAAAGAGTATCTTTTAAAGTCCGCCTTTTTCAGTTGCAACGTCATCACACTCGCGTGACCACTTCCCGGCTTTTCGCGCGGAATATTTGATGGCCGGCTGAATGTAAAAGGTTGCTAAAAATATAATTGGATGATTTGATAATACATTTTTCAATTCATTAATGCACATTTACGTGAATAAAAAATACATGTCATGCTTGGAGAAAAAATGAGCAGTTCATATAAAAAAACTACATAATAAAACAAACAATAAAGAGATTTAAAACCAAGAGGCTCTGTCTGCAAAGTCATATTCCAGGTAAGTTACTTTCGATTCAATCATTTTGTTCCTTGGTACATTGTGTTATTATCTGTTTATGACTTTATTTGCCTTTTTGTGAAGGCTGTTGGGAGACTACCCTCCACTTTAAAAAGAAAAAATAGCCTAACCTCAGTTTATAGATTAACATACAGCATAAAACCATTTACAAAATTAAATAAATATATTTTTTATTGTTGATTTGTATTACAGGAATATTATTTGAGTTGTTTTCTTTCATATGAATTTCAGTAGGCATATTATTATTATTATTATTATTATTATTATTATTATTATTAATAATAATAATAATATTATTTACTCTACCATTGACTATTACTGTTATTGTATTTTCTCTACGTTGCTTCGGCCCTTCAGCACTTTGAATTCAATTGAATTATTCAAGGACCTCAGAATAAATCCCAGTACAAATCTGCACATTTGAGAAGTTTTGAGGGACCATGAAGAAAAACATTTGTGGAAACAGAATGAACACTAAAGGGAATAAAGAGATGTCAAATTGAATGCAACTTGATAAATTGGCCCTGAAATACCAGAACACACCTGTCTGTAGTCTGATTTGATAATACATTTTTCAATTCATTAATGCACATTTACGTGAATAAAAAAAATAAATGTCATGCTTGGAGAAAAAAATGAGCAGTTCAAACAAAAAAACTACATAATAAAACAAAAAAAAAGAGATTTAAAACCAAGAGGCTCTGCCTGCAAAGTCATATTCCAGGTAAGTTACTTTTCATTCAATCATTTTGTTCCTTGGTACATTGTGTTATTATCTGTTTATGACTTTATTTGCCTTTTTGTGAAGGCTGTTAGGAGACTACCCTCCACTTTAAAAAGAAAAAAAATAGCCTAACCAAGGAAATTGTCTCTTAAGGCTGTGAATTGTTTGTGTGTACATGTTTACAGCAAGAGTGCAATTCAATGGTAGCCTCGTAGTAGCTCACATAGACTGTAAATACACATGTAAATAATTATATATACAGTATTATAAACAGTCTATGGTAGCTCACAGTTACCAAAGGCTACCAGTGAAAGGTTCACCAAGACCTACCAGGGTTACCACATTTAGCTTGATGCCGCACATATGCAACCGGAAGCTAGCTGAACTCAGTGTGTCATGTTACTAAGTTCAAGTCAAGAATGAATATATATTGGAAGTTAACTCCTTTAATGGATTGTATAAGAGTTGACTGAATGTTAGTTTGAAACAGCGTAATCAATCGGCTTCAACAGTCAGAAAATGGTGATGTCACTGAGACTACGTCCATGTTTCACAATAGAAACCTCCACTAGACACCTCTACACTGGCGTATTGAAGAGAAAATACATCACTAGAGGGACAAAACATGCCACATTTTTAACCTAAATATCAGTGCATTTAATTTGAATGTGCAAAGGAAATGATCAAGTCTGGTAACATTTGGAGCTGTTGATATTTTCAAGGATGTGTTTCAAGTCTGTCTTCATTCCATCACAGCTGTCCTTGACTTTAAGTTCAGGTTGTAAAGTGAGTTGGCTCCCTCTGGAGATCAGGCCCATATTACAAAATCTTTTCATCTAGTAAAAATGCCCTACGGTAGAGGAATTTTGTGAGGACTTTAAGAGCAATAAGGATTAAAAAAAAAATCTAAATGGGATGTTTCTGTTAGGTAAAAAACCTTCCAAACATCTGTTTTAATTTATGATGAGATTAACATGTTGTTCTCAGTGTGACAATAAAAAAAAATTGTTTCCCTCTTATCACAGTGTGTTTCCATGCTTTTCCTTTCACAACAACCTTAGTGCACAGGTTACAATGTAAACACCTGAATCCTTTGTGTCTGCCTGTTCTAACCATCACAAATCAGCTTCTCGTGCTTGAAACAAATGCAGCCCTGTTCTTTAGATGGTCTCTTTTCAAATTGAAATGTGGAAACAAGCTTCTGCTATAGCCAGAGGGCATGACTCTCTTCTGTCAGTCACTCCTATCCAGTTACACACTGACACATAGAGCAGGGAGGAGTGGGAGTTGACGTAGTCTTGTTGCTGATTTAAATTGTATTTAGATTTGTTCTGTTTTCTCCCAGAGATTCCAGTGGCTTTAACAAAAAGTTAAACAAAATTGAGGATGTACATAGAAAAGGATGTACCGGTAAATAAGGTAGAACTCTTTGAACATCTTGACCCACGCAGCTATACTCTTCGGGATGCTGAAGTTTACTTTTGGAATCTGATGGTTAATGCTTAAGGATACAAATGTATGTGCATTTCTAAACCTCCAAAAATAGTTAAAGCAAATTAAATGAATATAAATTAAAATGTCACAACAACATAAAAAATAGTAAGCCAGCACATAGGCTATATAACAGTATTGCCTTTAATTAATTTTTATTCATTGTTGGGGTACAGTTGGCTACTCAGCTGACCGCATAGTAATATTTAATAAAGGGTCCATTTATAAGATATTTTGATCTGTAGTTCATCTTTAGGAGGTTCTCTGAAATTAAAAAGCTTTTTTTCCCCAGACAGGTGGTTCTCAATATTGCAAAACAGAGGTGGGACTGCACATCTGATCCCTGCACGCTGACATGATGAAACTGTGTCTGGAACCAATCCAACCAATAATCTAGTATCAAGTAAAAGTTTACCTTCAATAAAAAGTACATTTTTTTTTACCATACAGTAATCCTGCAAAAATCTATCTCTTTAAGAGTATTGCCATAAGTTAATGTTGATAATACTTATTCAGGGAGATGTTTGATCTCAGTTAATAGGTGAACATCCAGCATAAAACCATTTACGAAATTAAATAAATGTATTTTTTATTGTTGATTTGTATTACAGGAATGTTATTTGAGTTGTTTTCTTTCATATGAATTTCAGTAGGCATTACTATTATTATTATTATTATTATTATTATTATTATTAATATTATTACTCTACCATTGACTATTACTACTGTTATTGTATTTTCTACATTGCTTCGGCACTTTGAATTTAATTTAATTATTCTAAGGACGAATAAATCCCTGGTTTCACTTAAGTACAAATCTGCGCATTTGAGAAGTTTTGAGGGACATGAAGAAAAACTTCTGTGGAAACAGAAATGAACTCTAAAGGGAATAAAGAGATGTCAAATTGAATGCAACTTGATAAATTGGCCTTGAAATACCAGAACACACCTGTCTGTAGTCTGTAAAGAACAATAACCTGATGTAGCCTAAAACTTTACAGGCGGTTATATGCTGACGCCCAAATCACACAAGTGAAAAACCAGCAGAGCAGAAACTTTTTTTTTTTTTTTTCTCCCTCTCTGTCAGCCCTGACCTCTGATGTCCGCGTTACTTCCGTGTTTCACCTGTTACACCTGTATTACCGCGCTGTAAAGGTGCGACTCCAGCTCTTGCCGGTGCACCTGTTGCGTTGTTGTGCCATGACCGAGGAGCTCATAACGTGCGAGCTAACATGCCCGACATCACCCGTCGACAAAAAGGCGAATTTTGACGGCGTAAAAATCGAGGGTATGGATTTTGAGCAGCCTATTTTCTCCGTTTTGAGCGACGGGATGAAGGAGCAGCAGCAGGCGGGGGGGAAGAGCTCATGTGACGGCGACGTCGAGGCGAACTCCCTCGGAACGACCACCCAAACGGACACCGAGTCCGGGATCTTCTCCGTTGAATGTGAGCAGTGTGTGGAGCACGAGTCCGAGATGGACTGGTTCTGTGGCACCGAACAAAAACTTATTTGCTCCCATTGCGCCACTGTGGGCCCCTGCCACGGACACACGGTGACCCCTTTGGTTACCAGAGTAACAGCAGTCAGGGTGAGTGAGTAACCTACTTCATGTGATGTGTTCAAGTGCAGCAGCTGTTAACTTCTTTTTGCAAATGTTTTTACCCAGCTGTGACTTAAATGTGTCGTTTAGGGTTCAATAAACACAGGAAGTTTACTTCACTTTATGTTTCAATTTAATTGGTATTCATTTACAAGCATATAGGCTAATTGAAAAACAATCTACTTATCTTTTACTAATTTATTGGAAGGAAATTCATGTTTTAATATGATACTTTGAGAGTGAGACACGTTGTGAAGCTGCTGACTGACTGACAATAAGAAACTGAAAACTGTGTTCACACATTGGAAACTAGGCTATAATACATGCATGCACTTAGTCATTTTTTCCTGGGTGTGGGTGTGTCACAGTTGGCATGTGTTATTCCTCTCTAATGCCTCTGCCTGGTATTTGAAAAGACAGGAATTTCTTGTTGGGTCTCCAGCTGATGATGTTAAGGCGTCGTGATGAGCTTGTTCAAAAACCACAGTGTGTGTTTTTCTGCGTGTGTTTGTTCACCAGAACCAACTGGTTGACGTGTGTGAGAAAATACAGCTGAAGGCTCAGAGGATCGAGAAGTTTATCGACCAGACACTGACAGCTAAAGAGCAAAAGCTTCAGGTGAGAAATGCCGCCGATCCCCACCCACTCTGCCACACACTAATGCTCACACACAGACACACTGCCGTCTGAAATACTGACACAGTATTAAGTGTTTCACAAGTGCAGAGTTTTGACATAGGTTGGCTCTCCTTAATGAAGAAGTCACACGCAACAACCTGCACATGCTTTGCACACAGTATGTTGTGTTTGTGTACACTTTAATGACTCCCTACCACTGCAATAGTTCTCTTTGCATAATGTTCTTGAAAAAATATGTTTTTAGATGCATTCATAATCGATGAATCCCTCAAATATTTCTCACATTATTCAAACGTTTATATTCCACTTAATTACAGAACAAATTAAAACAATTCTATCGACCCAAGCTCGACCAGCTCTCCCAAAATCCATTCTATACAAGTTACAATGCTGGATTACTAAGAAAAAGATGAAAAGCCTTCATATTTAAGAAAATGGATCCAATAAATGATTAATGATGAATATTAACTTCACCAAATGATTGATTCTTAAACTAATCCTCTCAGCACTTCTATGCATGTTCTTATTGTAGGGTCATTCTCCTTTTAGGTAAAACCCACTTCACGTAGTCATAGGAATTTACATTCATATTGCCTTAAACACCTTTATGTGTTAAGTGAAATAAATGTTTTTTCATATAGCATGAAATGTCAGGATAATGAGCATGCTGCAACTGTAAAGTAGATCTTGGATTTCAGAAATGGTTTGCAGATTTAGTCCATCTATAACTGACTTGCCTCTTTAAAGTGCACCAAAGCATTTCTTAACGTCCCTGTTTTATGGTCATGTACGGGTAGTTTTCTTTTTTTTTTTTTACAAGTTTCCGGTGCAAATTAAATCTGAAGTAAAGAACAAATACAGGAAAACAAATACCTGCAGTGATATCTCAGAAAAGTCAAATCACTACTACTATATTTGTTGGTAATAGCTCTGAAACTATTGGTGTGCTTTTTGTATGGATAATTTGAGAAGTCCACTCTGTGAGATGTCATGATGTGTTGTTATCGGACTGACTGTCGACATGCTGCTGCTGCTATGCTCAAAATCTGAAAATATGCCTGCTCTCTTGACTTGAAATAGATGGTGCTTCCAGTTATTTTTTAAGGCTGTTAAGTTACAAGGGGTTTACTCTTTATCCTAAGAAAGTTGGTGTTGCTATCTTCATATTTGGAGATAATCAACCCTTTATCAGGAGTAAACAAAAACTCCCTTTTCTATTTGTTTATTAGATTATCAATTCATAGCTTTCAGTCATGTGACCGTCGCAGAGGATTGGAGGGCAAAAAGAGTTTAGGAAAGTAGCTGCCACCATCAACACACTGAGGAGCTGAAACGCAGGCTTCACTTCAAGAGGACGCATGTTTAGGTCACCTGACAACCTCAGCAAAAAGTTGCTGTTAATGTGAACTGCTAGTTTTTACACTTTCACACCGCAACACTTTTTCAACCGCTAAAAAAACCCCAGAAAAGTCTTAGCCAGACCTTCACTTCAGTGATGTTCACTCATATTTAGTGGAGCATCCTTTCCCTTACACTGCAGCAGGATGAACGTCTACAAACACCTTGATGTATTTTTCGATGTGGCAGGGTCAGTTATGTTGCTTTTTGAGACGTGAAGGGCAAGAAATTTGTCATGATAGCATGCATACATTAGCTATCTAACGTTCCCTGGCAATCCTATCAGGATCACTGTCAGCTCTCACTCAGTCAGTGTTCTGGGTTAGTAATCCAGGTATGAAGTTGAGAAACAGGTTTAAAATGCACAGAGACATATTATAAAACTTTTGAGGTTGCTATGGTCAACTTGATTGCAGAAAGTGTTTTGAGCTCTGTGACAGTCTCTAAAAATATCTGACTCATGAGGTGCTCCGCCATCTGATGAGTCCGAATTCATCAGCTCAAAATACCAAAGTCGCACCATGCTCGGCTTGTAATGTCATTTAACAAATCTGTCATGAGATCAACCTTTAAAAAAAACAGAACAGAAGCTGGGAGCTGACTCCTGAAACACAACATCATTAGGCTGGAGGATCCTGGTCTTGTTAAGCTGGGAAAGACGTTAAACGACATCTAAATATTTAATATTTTTGACATCTGATGAGAATTCCTGCTGTCCTTTATTATGTGATAGATAATAAAATGAAAAAAAAACGTTGGTTTAAAATGATGGTTGAAACAAAACAAATAGTTTTCAGTGCAAATGAGTGATGTTGATACAATCAAACATATCTAACTTTAAAACAGTACTGATATCGTTTACATTTTGATATAGTAAGACTCAATAAAAATGTTTTTTTTAAAGTGATTTAGTGTATGAAATGCACAGGTCCAAAAATGTAAATCCACCATTCACATAAAGTAGTCCTGCTCAATGATTTACAACATTGCCCACACTCTACTCGACTTCTACTTATTTGAGGAAGTCACCTTTTTAGTCATGGTGATACTGTTTTGATTATTCAATAACATGAATAAACACACCCCTCACATTTCTGACACTATTTCCTCCTTTCACCCTTTCTGTCTGCCTGCCTGTCTGTCTGTCTGTCTGCCTGTCTGTCTGTCTGTCTGTCTGTCTGTCTGTCTGTCTGCCTGCCTGCCTGCCTGCCTGCCTGCCTGCCTGCCTGCCTGCCTGCCTGCCTGCCTGTCTGTCTGTCTGTCTGTCTGCCTGCCTGCCTGCCTGCCTGCCTGCCTGCCTGTCTGTCTGCCTGCCTGCCTGCCTGTCTGTCTGTCTGTCTGTCTGTCTGTCTGTCTGCCTGTCTGCCTGCCTGTCTGTCTGTCTGTCTGTCTGTCTGTCTGTCTGTCTGTCTACATGTCTGTCTGTCTGCATGTCTGTCTGTCTGTCTGTCTGTCTGTCTGTCTGTCTGCCTGCCTGCCTGCCTGCTGCCTGCCTGTCTGTCTGTCTGCCTGTCTGCCTGTCTGTCTGTCTGCCTGCCTGTCTATTTGTCTGACTGTCTGTCTGTCTGTCTGTCTGCCTGCCTGTCTATTTGTCTGCCTGTCTGCCTGTCTGTCTGTCTGCCTGCCTGTCTATTTGTCTGTCTGTCTGTCTGTCTGCCTGTCTGTCTGTCTGTCTGTCTGTCTGTCTGTCTGTCTGCCTGCCTGCCTGTCTATTTGTCTGCCTGTCTGCCTGTCTGTCTGTCTGCCTGCCTGTCTATTTGTCTGACTGTCTGTCTGTCTGTCTGTCTGCCTGCCTGTCTATTTGTCTGCCTGTCTGCTGTCTGTCTGTCTGTCTGTCTGTCTGTCTGTCTGCCTGCCTGCCTGTCTATTTGTCTGCCTGTCTGCCTGTCTGTCTGTCTGCCTGCCTGTCTATTTGTCTGACTGTCTGTCTGTCTGTCTGTCTGCCTGCCTGCCTGTCTATTGTCTGCCTGTCTGTCTGTCTGTCTGTCTGTCTGTCTGTCTGTCTGTCTGTCTGCCTGCCTGTCTATTTGTCTGCCTGTCTGCCTGCCTGTCTGTCTGTCTGTCTGCCTGTCTGTTGGTCTGTCTGTCTGTCTGCCTGTCTGCCTGTCTGCCTGTTTGCCTGTCTGTCTGTCTGTCTGTCTGCCTGCCTGCCTGCCTGCCTGCCTGCCTGCCTGCCTGCCTGCCTGCCTGTCTGTCTGTCTGTCTGTCTATTTGTCTGACTGTCTGTCTGTCTGTCTGTCTGTCTGCCTGTCTGTTGGTCTGTCTGTCTGTCTGTCTGTCTGTCTGTCTGTCTGTCTGTCTGTCTGCCTGTCTGTCTGTCTGTCTGCCTGTCTGCCTGTCTGCCTGTCTGCCTGTCTGTCTGTGTGTGTAGGCAGCAGCAAGGAGAACGAGAGAGCAGGTCCTGGCTCAGGTGAGTGCAGCACGTGAAGCGTTGGAGGAGGAGGAGCAGCGTCTGCTGGAGGAGGTGCAGAGAGAGGAGGAGCGTGTGGAGCAGTGTCTCCTCACACAGAGAGCTCACTGGAGCCAGGCTCTGTCCAGTCTGACGCAGACACGCTCAGGCCTGGTGCACACGCTGACACACACTCCCGACGCACAACTGGTGGTGAGAGATTGAGAAATGATTTTCAGGAAGGAGACAGAATAGAGGAACTTTAATAACGGTATCCTGATTATGGTCCTAAATCACTAAACCACATAACCACCTCTTTCCTGCCTTGTTTTTCAGACGAGTGTACAGGAGATAGCTGAAAGGTAATTTTTTATCATATTACATGCTCGGGATTATATCATCTTTTGTGGATCAGAACGTACTTGAATGATAAAATGTCTCTTTTTCTTGCTGTTTGTGTTTGTTTGTCAGGGTGGAGGAGACAGACGGTGTTGGAGAGCCTTGTGACACAGACCAGCTCAACCTGAACTCATCCTGCAGCAACAGCAAGCTGCTCAGAGGGCTGTGGGCCGCTGCAGTGCTGCTGGGCCCGAATGGTTTGTACATTTCTTATTCAACTGTGAATTCATCTAAAAGGTTAAATAAACAGTGCAAATATGACGTTACATAAACAGACTATAATGAAACCGTCAAAATAGAAACAAGGCTGTCAACATTTTCAATAGTTCAACACTTTTTGATACCACGTTTTATGAAATGATAAAATCTCAGTTTTTGGAAGGATTGAACGTTTTGAAAAGATCTAAAGCTTTAAAAAAAAAAAAAAAAAAATTCAGATCTTCAGTCATTTTGTAACCCAAAGCTGCTGCAAGAGAAAGAGAGAGACAACTGCTGCGGTGCATTTAAATTCACAGGTTGGCAATTACCTACAGTATGTTTCTAAAGACCTTTTGTCATCTAAAGACTCAAAAGTTAAGATTATGTGAACAAAAGAGGTGACACTGTCTGCATGTGATTTGCTCCTCCTCTACCATTAGATGGTCACTAAAATCGATAGGATGGACAAGCACGATACTGTAGTGTATGGCGCCGTGTCAGGAAGTGACCAACTCAAAGCTGAAACCTTGTTTTTCTTTCTTTAAATTACAATAAAACGTTTCAGAATGCAGCTGATAGCAACGCAGCAAGTTTGTGACATTCAATCCATGTGTTTCATCTTCCCGCAGCTTATGGATCAGCTTATTTAAAGTTTGACGAGCGCACCGTGAGCCACCTCCTGTCGCCGTCTGAAGACTTCTGCACTTTGACCTTCGTCCACAAAAAATCTCGCCGGTCGCCCGCTTATGACCCTGCACGATTTGACTGTTGGCCCAACGCCCTGGGCTCTCTGGCCATGTCCTCCGGCACCCACAGCTGGGTGGTGGATGTCGGCCAGAGTGGCGCCTTCAAAGTCGGGGTCTGCTATTCCTCTCTGGAGCGCAAAGGCTCCGGGAACGAGGCGCGACTGGGTCACAACAGTAAGTCGTGGGTGCTGTCTCACTATGATGGGCACTACTCCTTCTGCCACGCGGGGAAGAAGGTGCCCCTGCAGGTGGTGAGTAGGCCCCAGAGGATCGGCCTGCTGCTGGACTGGCCGAGTCAGACTCTGTTGTTTTATGAGCCAGACTCCTTCGCTGTTCTGTACACTGTAACGCATCCTTTTGATGGCCCACTGCTGCCGGCCTGCGCTGTGACTGACCGCAGTATCACCATCCTGCACTGACAGAGCGCTCACAACACCTAAAACTTTATGTCCTTAAACATGTGAAGAAATGCAACAGGAAGACGACTTTCTATGAAGCTGACGATCCTCAATCTGTGCAATCATGAAAGCAGAAAAAAATCATCCTTTTTCTATTCTTTGCCTTTTTATTTGGATAGGACAGCCGAACAGAGAGAGAGGAAGTAGAGGGCGGTCGATGAGCATTAAAGAGTGTCTGATTTGAGTGTCAGTGAGGACCTAGTGTCTGTATGCTCTACAACACGAACTCAACCGAAGCCCCTGGAGTGAATTCATAAATATTCTTGATGTATTTTTAAGTAGCAGGTGATAATTAAATGAGTATTTTAATTATTTAGACATCTTATGTGTTCATATGATACTGTAGTGCTAAAACAGTATTTTTTGACTGACAATGATTGTGTTTTTTTATATTATTTCATACAAAATGATCAGTCAATGTGAGTTTGAAACTCTCCAAAGACTCTTAAAATAAATATTTATTTCACTAGTTTAGCCAGGATTACACTAGGATACCTAGAGAATATTTAGATTTGATTCTTTGGATGTAATATGGTAACTACATTTATTAAAAAAAAGATGTTTCTCACTGTAGACATTTCAGTGAAAACATAAAAAACACTTTTGTACATTTGATTGTGTGATTTCTTTGTTCTTCAGTGTCATGAGTTTGTCGTTTTTCAAGCCACATAAAGTTTCATTTCTCGTTTGAATTTAGCCGAACTCTGTGATGTGAAGTTTATTTGTCCAAAGAAATGTAGCAATGGTTTGTACCGCTCAAACAACTTGCAGCAGTCTCTATATTATTTATTTTTTAGCACAAAAGGAAAAGTAGTGAAGAACCCAACTAAATCCCATTAAGTCCTAACATTTGGGTCTCAACATTAAGCTCAGCAGCAGTGAGAACCTCTGCTGCTCTGCAGGTAACCACTAGAGGGCAGTACAGTCAAGTCAAGGTTTCACCACTGACAGCATAGTTGTGAATCATCAACATGTGGTTCTGACGAATCATGCCAAATCATTAAAGGGCAAAAAATATTACTCCAGGACCGCGGACAGCTACAGGTGCTGACTCATTAAATTTCAACAAGGCAAATACATGCTACTTGTTCCATGAAAGTTTGTGAATTAAAAAAAAACTGCCTGCGTTGGTTATGTTTTATTAAGGATTAGGTTTAGGGAACTAACAGTGAGGTCAACCATGCCCTTAGTATGAAGTACAAAGTGACCTGGATCACTGTGTTCCTCTGACATGACATGCAAGAAGAGGACAGTAAGAAGCACTGCTGCAGGACGTAGTCTCATTATTAAGAAATAGCAACATAAAAAAAAAACCTGAAAAAACTCCTACCACTGTTATTTTGGTTATGTACAAGAATGTCTAAAAATAAGCTAAAGCTGAAAGTACTTTGAAACTGCTACGGCGTGGTAGGTGTCAGCCGAAGTGAGTTATAGGGGGGTTTCAGAATGACACAAACTAAGAGATCCTAACTAGTTACTTCATTTTGGACTAAGACTTATCAATAAGGATTATTGATGGAGATTTTATTCATTGATCAGTTTAGGGTGTTCGATTAAAAAACTTGTGGCAAAATGCTGCAGAAGTTAAGCAGAGCCCCCAAACAATGGTGATTTTCTCAAACCAGCTGTAAACCAAAACCTTTAAAATAAATACAGAAAATAAGAATATTTCAATTTAATTAAAAAAATGTTAGATATGAATTTGATGGTACAGCAGCAAAATGCTCTTTTTCTGAGTCTGGGGCCTTAATTGTTTAAGGTTCTAACAAATAAAACCCTCGACCTTCCAGTTGAGAGACGACCGACTCTACCAAGTGAAGGACTACAGCCTCCGTACGTGGGGCACGACCTAACCACTAGGCCATCAGCATTATTACATTTACGAGAATAATATCATGAAATGTCTTGTTAGAATAGCTTTACGTTTGATTTTAAATTCTTGAATGTCTCCAAATGAAGCTTTTTTCCAGCTTCCAGCTTTTTCTGGTGATTTCAGCAACATATGGTGCAACACGGTGACTCTGCACGAATTCAAACCTTTCAACATAAACACTGTTGAAACATCTTACTGCGAAAGCCCCTCAGCTTTGAACTATTTCAGGCTTGTATTGACCTCTTGATATAATGATATAATAAATGACCTCTTAGAGCTACCGGAGTCATGCTACAGATAGAAGAACTTTAAATAAAAACTATGAACAGTAATAGAACTCATAGTGTGTGGTGGGTAAAGCTAAATGTGGTGATAGGTGTTGAACATTAAATGAAATGACAGATTCTATATACAGCTTCAGCGTTAAACACATGAACTGATACTTTGACTCACTACATTTCTGTAATCTATACAACGGGTTATACTTAAAATACATCAGTAGAAAATTGAACTGTTATTTCTCTGGCTAGAGTTATAAACATGTACGCCTGCTAATCAGTCGAAACACTTCTCGTCAGTTTCATCTCTATTGAAAAAGAAACCATATTTAGAGATATATGAATGAGAGTCCTAAATAGAGCAGCTGCAGTGCTGGGTTTATTGTACAGTTAACATCTGCTCCTCTCCCACGCTCATATCTCTAAATGTGATAACAACCGCATCCTCTGCAGTCTGACAGCTGTTATCTCTTTCCGAGGAAAATTATCAAGAACACGTTTCCTTAGTATAAAGATTATTTTGCCAAATATTTTACTTCCAAAGCGTGAGACATGATGGAAATATATAGAAAAGTATTTCATATCAGATTTGAGCTTTTTAATTTATTTTTGTGTTTGTTGTACAAAACTACATTTCTGTCACATGAAACAATCGTCAGGGTTTGTTCCAAGGGAAAACATAAAACACTCAACATAATTCACGTCAAATAAAAAGTTGACGTGTAATGAATGAAGACACGATCGTAACATGGGACAAGCCAAAGTTTGCCAAGTTTGAAACTTTCCAAACATCCTCATTCAGAAAGCCCCAACAACTCAAGGCAAGTATTTCTTGTTCTTTTTTTGTTTTGTTGTTCTGCCATTCAAAGATTGATTCAGCCAACGTTTATTCTTCTTTCACCGTCCTCTTGTTTGTCTCGCCGAGTATGACAGGAGGAGGCGGCTCTATGTTGAGCTCTTGTCGGAGGTCCTCGAGGTTCTGCTCCCAGCGTCTCTCGTAGAAGATGCTGAGGATGCAGCGGGACCGCCGGCCGTTCTGCAGAGCCCAGGGACCCAGTGAGGTGAACAGAGACTGCAAACGGCTATAAGGAAGGACAAAGACGGAAGAAAGATAGAAAGACAATAGAACAATGAACTGATTGTTTTATTTCGTGTAAACTGGCCACAGCCCAGTTCTTTAAACAAGAACTACAGGGAAGTTCTCAGGTTGTAAATAAAGAAGGATGAATCACGTACAGCTGAGTATTACTGCTTTCATCATAACGATCCCAACTAGTTAAACATTGCGACACAGCTTTCACAATTGGGTCAGGCCTTTTAGTTTTCCTTCAACATTCTGGTGCGACTGTTGCTCATATGAACACTAAAAGTACAAAGACAAGAAAAGATAGAAATATGTAGAGAATTCAAATGACAATCACAGTAACAAAACCCAGTGTTTAACCCAACATGTTTAAAGAAATAGGAATACCATAAGATATAATGTATGTATGCACAGTCAGAATATAAACTATAAGGAGGACTTTAAAGCAATGGTTGGAACTTGCATTTGTGTGCAGGTCAAAAGTCAAAACTGAGAACATAAAATAAGGTCAGGTGCAATGATTAGCTTAGCAATCAATCAGAAGATTAAGAAATCTCCAACTTCTTTGGTTATCAGTTTATTATCAAAAAAAAAACCATCCATTTCATGCGACAGGAGAGCAATGTGTCCATCAAAAACTTAAATGTAAACTCCCCTACACTGTCGAGCCTGCAAACAAACATTTATTGGCAATGTTTGTTCACTAGACCTTCATCAGGAGAAGGTTATAATCTATATAATATACACATGTAATACATGTTTATGTTCAATAATGTGCTCTGTCCCTATTTAAATAAAAAAAAAAAAATATATATATCAGCATGTGAAGAGTCTTAATTAGTGATTGGATGCTCCTGTGGAGGTAACCACATGTAGAGAAACTCAACATGCATGTCTCACTTTGTGTTAAAAGTCAGAGATGGATTGAAATGTCTGCACCAATCGTTTCAGTCTGTTCGGCCCAGCTATCAATCAAACATATTCTTCACGCTGTGTTTAAAGAACATTCCTCTGTTTCTCGTCAGCTTGAGAAACTCTTCTCTCTCCTCCTAACAGTTTGTCACCTTAGGAGCTCTCTTAAGGGCTAAGACACTTTGTGAAGGACTTTCATCTTTACAAGGATCTAGTCCTAACTTAGAGGGGGACATTTTTTAGAAAAAGTCCTGATTCTAAGAATGTTCTTATTATTTTGTCACTCGTTCTTAGGAGGCTGCGGGAATTCGGCCCCAGGAGTTTTTGTGCATGTGTGAAAACACCTTAAGAAACTTCTGATCATACACATTCAGAGCCTCCCCGGTCGTCCCGCTGGTCTGTCTAGTACTCAGCTGTATATTCCATTTTGTACCTTGAACTGAGCCGAAGTGGTCCCAACACGGCTCCAAGAGCGCACATGGGGAGTCCAGTCTGGGCAGCTTCGAACCATTTCACTGCCACTTCACCTGAAAACACAAAGGAAGGTATGAAAACAGAAAGAAATATTAGAATGTTAAAATGTTTTTAAAAAGTATATTTGATAGTTTGGGAAGTTATGTATACTAAGTGTGTCTTATCAGAAAAGAGAAGCGATCAAACATGTGGTCAATTATTATAAAAGAAGAAATGAAGACTAAAACCTGGAAGAGATACTTAAACCTCTGTAGACTCAGCGGACATTAATATTCATGTGGATTATGCAGACCGTTAACGCGTCTTAATGAGTCAATAAGTTAATACTATTAGATGTCTAGATAACTATAGTTTCCTGACTCATCATTTCCAGGCTGGTTCTCCCTCTGTGAGTTGGATCGACTTCTTGCTGGAGGTAAAGTAACATCTTTTATTTGTTAAATGTATTCTGCTGTAGTTAACAATACAAACACAGCGTACTTTCATCCAAAGCTAACAGACACAACCAGGAGTGATGAGTCTGCTGATTTAGAGTTGAAAGGGATGCTGTTTCAAACTTATTGAACATTACGAGAATTTACTTTTACACAGTGTGACAAGTTTGTTTCTTCACATTTTGAGATTTTGTTTTTGAACATTGTGAGACATGTTTTGTACAGAGTGGGAACAATGTTTTGTTTTATATTGAATTAACTTGCAAATCAGCATTTAGTACCAGTATTAAACCAATCTGTCATTTCAAATAGTTATTGAAATACTGCTTAACAAAGAGTCTTTGCAGTCTTTATATTAAATTGATATTTCAACTGCATTAAGAGGAGCTCGATCTTGATACTCAAAAATACTCACATCAACTGAAGAACTGGCTCACTATTGACTAACTATTGCAGGGACGTTTCTGAGTCCTACCCAGCACAAAACGATATTTAAGAAACATTCTCACTGATCCATGCTTTTTTCCCCTTAAAGCTTTTACGTTATTATAGGGTTGTGTTTCAATGCAGGTGAAGCGACTGACTATCTATAAGCTGCTTTAACTCCCTTAAATTCCCATCAGTATTGCCATAAAGACGCATACCAGTTTGACTTGATGGATTGAGCAGGTTTTGTTCTGATGACTCTATAATGGTAAAGGATCTCCATCTCTGTCCTCCTTACATTCATAACTAATGGATCTTACAGGTAGTTATGTCATTGGGCAACTAACACAAACCAGCAATTTGTCAGATTTATTTCTAAAGATGTAACATTGAAACTTCTGCACATGAATGTGGACCTGTATGTGCTTTGGTTATTCCTACATGCATGAGGAAATGAAACAGCTGGTATGGAAGCTCTCTCAGGCTCTAGAGCAGAATAAAAGAGAAGCAGAATAAAAGAGAAAAGGAGAAGCCAGTAAGCACGTTAGCTTCACACAGGTTACCAGAATACTTACCACAAAGTTTTATTTTTGATTTAGAAAATGAATAAATAATACAACGCACACTACAAATTACTTTTCAGTGTCTGCGGATTACTTGTTCTTCTAATTGTATATTCCTGCAAAAGAGCGTCAACTGGGCTGGCTGTGCATGGAGAACCCTGTTGATCGTGTTTTGGATTGTTCAAAATAAAAAAACTTGACAAAACTGTGACATAAATGAAAATAAAATCTAGACAACAAGAAAACAAACAGACAAACACAACAGACTGCTTTTTTTCGCAAAGTGCGGTAACTAATCTAAGCGGTCATCACACGACTTTGTATATTCATACTGACTCCGACTCTGCCACATTGGTGGCCCTATTGGTGTCCCAGTTTGTGAACTGAAATTGCATTTGGGCAATACTGAAGAACGTCCCAGCGGGAGCTCCACATAGACACACAGTCAGATGTGCACGCACACACACACGCTGGCTCAGCTGACCCTGTCTCAGCTGATCCTGTCTCAGCTGATCCTGTCTCAGCTGATCCTGTCTCACTTCTGTAACGCCTTTTGTTACTACCCCCGAATACGGCGCAGAGCTGGGATCACTTTGTCCCCCGATTACGCCTCCATTGACACAGGGGCGTAAATATTGCAGCTTGAAACGACAGTCTGAATGGGGCTTTAGTAATCTATGGGTCATGAGTGTAGCGATGTAATTCTAATTAAAGAAAGTAAAAACTATTTAGAAAGTACAATAAGAAATGTATTTTCTCTCTAACTGACCCAGAGTAGAAGTGATGTCTACCTCCCGAGAGGAAAGTTTTTGAATTTACCTCGACACAGGTCTGACAAAGTTAGTTTTTAATGAACTTGGAAACTCCCTCTGAATTAGATACATGAGAGGCAAGTGTCATTCAGGGCCGAAGTTTAATTACAATCATCTAATCTGTGAAGCATTATTCAGGACGGGTGAACCTTGCCTCACCCAGCATGTTGGTGGGCATGCCCAGTAAAGTGTGCAGCAGGTCATGGACCTCTCTGTATCTCTGCATGACGTAGGCCAGCTCTTCATGATCCACAAACTTCACGTCAGCCCTGGAGTCAGGGGTCACATGCTGCAAGATAAGGAAAGGGAAAACAGAAGTTAGGATGAAAGGGAAACTTGAAAAGGAGGGACTTCCAAGAAGATGCGCTCGTTTATCCTGCTGATGAAATGTCAAAACAAAATATGTAATCCGTCAGCAGAGACTCACGTTGTCCTCAAGAAAACGTAGGTACTCTCTTCCGAAAGAGCCGTCAGGCAAGGACGCCATCCTGTTCAGATCCAGAGTAGAGAGCCTGATCCTCGGCCTTTCTCTGCAACAAAGATTCAAAACAACAATTAAGACAAAATCCTATTTGTTTGACAGTTGAGTAAACGGTGCTTAAAATGATCCTCAATCAGAAAAACGACTGAAAAGCTTCTGGGTGACTCACGTTAGGACAGTGTACCCTTCAGGATCGTTTCTCATCCTGTCTCTGAGATTCATCAACGCTAGGTGTCCGGTCGTCTCGCCAAGCACAGCAACCATGTCTGAACAGAGTGTCATCACGGTGATTGATGAATAAAGACGAACGTGTGCAGTCTAGTAGAAGATTGCCAAACAATGACGTTCACTATCTGCTGACAGAGTCTCTGATTTCTACATTGATCAAATATATTTCAAAGTTCATAAAGAGTTGCTAAAAAGGGCTTACGGTAGATGATTTAAAGGGGCACTCCACCTTTTTTTTTTTTTTTTTTAAATATGAATATTAGTATACTCGCCCCACCTGACAACCTGAGTCTGTCAAAACAACTACTCAGTGTTTTTTTGTGGATTTTTGTGACAAGTTAAAGATCTGGGAAAAAGTCTGTCTGAGAATATGACATCTGGTGATGTCATCAAGAGTCATCTCAGTAAGGAAAATAATTATTTAACGGACGCTGAATAAGAGAAAACGAGCTTCAATATTCACTTTTTCCTGTCCGTCGTACGTTTTAGCTTCATTGTGTGCACGGATATCTGATTTAGTGTGAAAGAGGTGACGGTTTCTGATTTCCACTCTTGAGACCTCAAGATTAAACCGTATATTCTGGTTCTATGGATGTGCAGACGCCACAAGTTGTCCAGTAAGAATAGGAAATGTCAGTGAAGAGTCCAGTCTGACACACACTGTCTCTTTGAGATGCCACTCATTTGCTGTGTGTTAATGTGTGTGTGTGTGTGTGGGGTTTGGTCTCATGGACACACAGAGGCTTCAAAAGATAAATAAGAAGTTCAGAGAACCGAGGTGAGAGGTGCAGTCGTCTTTTCCGCTGTGATGCTTCACTGAGGTGTAGTTAGATTGACAGGACAGACAAGGGTCTGAGGTCAGCGATAGGTGCAGGGGGGGGGGGGTGTTGTTAATGCACACGGGCTGTTCAAGTGAATATGGAGTGATGAAATGGGGCTTCTGCACTGAAACCTGCAGAAGGTGTTTGTTTAAAATGATATATCGAGCCTTTGTGTATGCATGTATAGACGTATTTATCCTTATGTATGACTATGCTATGCGTTTCTAATGAAAGAGTGCATACCTGATGAACTATTTTGTGGTTATTTATTGAATATTTTGAACTGAAATCAAAGCATCGCTTGAAATGAAAACAACACATTTTAGTTTTAAAACAGAAATGAACTTCTCTCAAACAGTCCAAAAATAAATAACTTGCATTTCTTGCAAACAGTTTTTCCGCAGTGGTTACATCTGACTTCTTTTTGTTCGGTGTCGTCTTCCCTAAAGACAAAATGTGTCCAAACGAAGGACATTTCTTCCATGTCCATGAAGAAAATCGACATGGGCAAGATTACGTCGCTTACAGGTTCTGAATGTAGGTTTCCATTAATTGCCCAGCCCTAGTATACAGTATAGAATTATTCATCCTTATGTGTGACTGTGTGTATTTGTGGGCAGATGTTTGATGATATAACTACACTGGACGGTATCTGGGCATGAATAGGCGTAACATAGACACGGTTTTTACTTTCTTTTCTGAATTATGACAAACACAATTTGCTACTTTCTGAAAACAGGGGGCGCCCCACGCATGGAGGCTGTAGTCTCAAGCGGGCGGCCCGGGTTCACATCCCACCTGTGGCCTCCCTCCCACATGTCGCTCCCCCACTCTCTCTCCCTGATATGCGACTCTATCCACTGTCCTATCTCTCCATTAAAGGCATAAAAAGCCAAAAAAAAAAATCTTGAAAAAAAAAAAAAAAAAACTTTTCCTGAGAATTCAATTTTTCTTAACCTTTTTTTCTAACAGATAGCCTCTGCTATAAAATCTGGCGAGGAGTTGATACGGTGGCCTGGGAGGCTCAACTGAAAAAAAAGCACAATGATCTTTACTGTATGGTTTCTGTTTTGTTCTTGTGTTTTTATAAAGGAAGTACTAGAACTAGAATAACCCGTACTTTTTAAAGATAGACTGATACTACAGACTAACAGTAAGACAGCCTCCAAAAACACCTGTGACTTCTCAAATGAATTTCACACTAATGTGTTTGTGGTCTGTCTCGACGAAACTTACAGGCATTGTCATTTTTTTCTTTTCTGTTCTCAGAATATTTTTTCAGTACCGACGGTCTCTAGAGCATAGAAGCCATAGAAGTTCCTCTTTTTGAATAATACCAAAGAAACCCTCTTTAGGTGATGTCCCTTTTTGGTAACATCTGACTGAAAGTGTATGATAGAATGAGTTCACATACTCTGAAGATATAAAGAAGTGTTTGTTAAATCCTTTACTGGTGAATCAGGTTTAATCATACATGTGTCATTAGGGTAACACCTTGATGAAGTTATAAAGCAGCAACACGACATGACATGTCCCACGCCTCATCGAAGTTTAGCATCAGTATCGATCATTCCTCTTCATGAATGAGTGGATGAATGTATGAAAGAAGAAAAAACAAACAAAACAAAAGTGACGCTGACCGAAAAGGAG